TAAGGGAACTAGGTAAGAAGGCTGAGAGGACATATGATAGCACTCTGAAAGAATGTATTTATTTATTACCAATGCTTTCCTGATGGTTCAATCACATGACTCTAAGTGCTTACAGCATTTCTGTCTGTCTGTCTGTCTGTCTGTCTCTCTCTCTCTCTATCTGTCTCTCATTACAATAAATCACAAATTATCCAAATTATCAGACATACCATTAACAATATGATCAACATAAATTCAACTTAAGAATTAATAATGTCATAAAATGATAATGTAACACAAAGCATCCGGATGCACCTCCTCAGGTACATCTCTCATCTTGACTTCAGTCCCCAAAAGTCCAAAGAAAAATGAAAAATGAATTTTCAGATATGTTTAAAATAAAAGACAAAAAGTAGTATATAAGAAGTTCCATTAAGGCATCAAAATGTTAGCACAAAAAGAAAAGGTAGAATTATTCATTTTTTAAAAAAATATAGTATTATTAGTATTACTACTACTACTACTACTACTACTACTACTACTATTACTTTGGCTCTGTCTTTTCCTTCAAGAGGGTATATATGTTACTAGGATATTAAAATAAACCGGGTGAAGAGGCAGTAATCATGTGTCCAATCACCAGAAACTTAGTAAGGAAATACCTGTTTGAACTGAATAAATTTAAATCTCCAGAGTCAGATGTTGATCTGCTCAAACTTTTAAATTATATTTTTGAGAAATACTGAAGAATGAGTGAAAATCTGATGACTAGAGGAGGCAAATGGCTCCCTTAAAAAGGGGAAAAAGGAAGGACCTAGGAAAATCTCTAGACCAAACATGGTATCCTTTATTACTGGCTCTGGAGGCTATGCATGGAAGACATCATTTTCCAGTGGTTTTCCTTCTTTCTCTGTGATCAGTTTCAATCAGTGTTGATGGGAGGAGTGGTTTGATGGCCATGGCCTCTCCATTGTACGGTGCTCACAGTCCCTCACTTGTGGGGTTCCACAGAGCTCACTGCTGCTTTACCTTTTGTTTTACATCTACATGGATCTAGTCATCATCCATTGGTTTGTGGTCAGATATCATTAAGATGCTGATGATACCCAATTGTATATCTCAACCTCAGACTGACCCAAAAATGCTGTTGAGTCATGGCCCTGTGTCTGGTGGTTGAGTGGGTCTGGATGTGGAGGAACAGACTGAGGCTCAATCCTGACAGGATTGTGGCAAGTAGATGTGTTTATTTGGTCCTCCCTAACTCTGGGGATGTTCTATTCTTAGTCTTCAACTGAGTTGCACTTCCTCATGTGAGACTTGAGCATAGTCTGGATATCATTTTGGATTCAAAACTGCTACTTGAAGGGCAGTTGACAGCTGTGGCCAAGAGGGCCTTTGCACGGGTTAATGTAGTATGCCAGTTCTGCCCATTTGTGGACTTGGAGGCCCTTCAGATAGTCACTCACACCTCTTGATTAGATTGTTTTACTGTGCTCTACATGGTGATGCCTTTGAATGTCTTGTGTAAGCTACAGATGGTCTAGAGTGCCACTGCATGTGCAGTGTTAGGCATGTTACCAGTTGGCTCTGGGGGCTATTCAGAGTGTTGGTTACAACCTATAAAGCCCTTCTTGGCAACAGGGCCTGCTCTCTGAGGGACTAGCTATCTCCAATACTTTCTGCCCACCTGGTTTGATCAGGCAGAGTAGATACACTCCGGGTCCTGTTGATTAAAGACACCCAGGACGTAGCTCTTTTCTATTGAGATGACATCCCCTCAGAGATCCATATGGCTCCCACCCTAATGAGATACAGAAAATCATTTAAATATCAGTTGTTCTCTCAGGTCTTGGGTTAGGGTGGCTATGGAGCCTGCATAAGGTTTTTATTATTATTATTGTTGTTGTTGTTGTTGTTGTTGTTAAAAAACAGGAGTCACTTTGCAGTGAGACGGGTGGTGACAAATTTGAAATATGAATAAAATAAATAAAATGTTTTTTTATGATTGTTATTGAACTCTTCTTCTGGCCATCTGTTTCTCCATATATATGTTATTCTTTTCTATTTTTACTGTAAGTTGTTTAGACTCACTAAAGAGTTGGGTGGCCTCAACATTAAAATAATAAATAAATAAGTCTCAATCTGATATCAATATCTGGAAAGCTTATTGAGCAGATAACAAAGTGGTTGTTCTGAGTGTACCTTGAAAACAATAAGGCGATCACCAGGTTACAGAGATGATAAAAATAAAATGGAAAGCAAACTTCTTGGTTTATTTTTCCTTAAGGCTGTACAAAGCTTTGAACTTGTGATTCAGTTTGATGAAGCTTTGAGAGAATCTCATCATATTTATGAACTGAAGCAGGGAATTGCTTTGAAGCAATGAATCAACTTGGGTGCCTCTGAAACAGTCTGAAGATGTGATCATATTTCTGCTGTTTTGGAGAATCTTGCAAACAATATGCAATATTGCAATTTCCACGATGTTTGGAGAATACAGATCGTGCGTGGGGAGGTGTTAAATGGGTTGATGAGTTCTGTGACAGGAGGAGAGTGGCAATTATACTTTTTTCATTGCCTAAAGGTAGCAAGAGTATGATGACTCTGGGGTCTTCTCATTTCATCTCAGTATTTTTTTTTTCTTTTCAGCCATTGAATCTACAGTATATCAGTTCTGGGGAATGGAGGAAAAGTTGCTTGCTTGAAGGAGAATGCAGAATAAGGTCACAGGAGCTGGGAAATGGTTTTGTTGACAAATTCTGATTCTAGATTCTGGCTTCCTAGTTATAAAAACAATCCACAGTAATCTTTTGCCAGCATGCAAAAAATCGAACTACCATTGTGAGAATTATGCCAAAGAGTGACTGATTAATCACGGAAAATGAAAATGAGATCCAAAGATTTTTGATAAAATTAGAAGTTTATATTAGATTATTTATATATATTCTTGTCATCATTTGCACAACTATACTAATACTAGCCATGTTTTATTGCTTATCAGTGAAATATCAGAAAATGCATATAGTGTGTGGTAAAAACAAACCATGAATGGATATTGTTGATGGTAAACTGAAATTATTAAAAGTAGCTAGATAGCTAGCAACTTCTTAACAGCAGTTGCTTGTGTACATTTTCTGCATTTTTGCCTTGAGAATCTCTAGCAATCACTTTTCATTTCATTTGTTAGTTCTCTCCTATTCAGTGTGCAAATGAAAACCAGAAATCACCCTTCTTCTCCCTCTTCTTGTCTCAATGTGGGAATCAGAGTTAGCCCTTTTCTCTTCTCTTCTACTCTGTCTCCTTACCTAAAAGACCATGTATGTAAAGAGCCAAGTGATAACTGTAATTCCCTTGGGCATAAAGCCTTTTGAAGACCAGTTGTCTGACAAAGGCAGAGGAATCTATCTACTACCTCCTTAACCACCAAGACACTTTTCCTACCAAGTCCTTCTCCTCCTTTCCTGAGGCATCTTGGTGTAGGCAGTCAGATCATCTGAGAACTGCAAATGGAATGTGTGAAGGCAGAGAAGCAAATCTCCATTGGTTGCAACCTCTAATGAATGAAGAGAATTCAATTATTTTTTCTAATAAATCAAATATCCAAAAAGGCCTTCCTGGCATAAGAATCTAGAATGTTCTCCACTTCAAACTCTCCCTCCTCATCAACTGAGGTGAGAAGAATCAATGCACTGAGGGCACAAGAGGAAAGGCAGATTCTCCTGAAACGAAAGGAATGATAGAAAATGGAAAGCTACATATCAAAAGCCAGCAGATTTGTTTGCATCAAAATTGAGAATGCTCTGATAATCTTGGAATCCATATCTTTTGATGGTCTTGTTGATGGAGGATAGTGAAGCATGGATTCAGCTCCCATGTTTTTATTCCTTGACCCACAACTTCAACCATTCTGGTATTCAGTAAGGGATGCCTTAGTAGGAAGAGAGAAGTGAGGAACAAGGGGCCTCTGTTGCTAATCCTTGGGCACCCAGGTGAAAGGATTCCCTGGAATCATCAGAATAGGAGCCAGATCATGTCTTGGAAGGAGAGATTTGGGAAGGCCTGCTAGCTTCCCCATCATTCAGCACTGTCTCCTAATCTCCTGAGCAAATGCAAGAAAACAGCCAACTGACCACTCACTTCCACGTCTTTTGCCTATATTCAAGTACTGCAATCTAAGGAGAGGAGGTCCCAGAACATCTAACCATTGTGATTTTTATCTGCTTTGAGGGAAGAGTTCCCTACTTACATCCTGCTCAAAACATTCCTTCTGTAACTATAAGGAATTGATAAATAGGAAAATACTGCACAGCTAAAGAGATATAGGTTTTCAATATTTTGCTAATTGTTTGCTAATGCTTCATTTTCTTAGGTCAGATATGAGGAGGGCTGCATTTATTTAATATTTGTCACACAACAGCAATCCACCCTAGTGTAGCATTCATAGTGTATGCTTTCAAAAGGGAAAGAAGGTTCACTACTGCTTCCTTCTTAAGAACTGCTTCGTATTCAGCTCCGGTCGCAACAAAATAATGTAACATTTGGGGAAAAAGAGGCAACCCAGCAATCCAGCACTGGAAGATAAGATACAGAAGATCTCCATGGCTACTATATACTTTCCTTGGGCACTCAAGTAAGTGGGGACAAAAGTGAACCATACACTACAAAACACCAACATGCTGAAGGTGATAAGTTTGGTTTCATTAAAACTATTGGGCAACTTGCGGGCCAAAAACGCCACAGTGAAGCTGGCAATGGCCAGGAAACCCATGTAGCTAAGGACACCGTAAAATAGGACTGGTGATGACTCATTACACTTCAGAACAATTGCTTTAGGTACCAAATGTAGGTCAGCATCTGGGAAGGGAGGAGAAGTTGCCATCCACACCAGAGAGATGCTTACTTGAAGAACAGAGCAAGAAAAAACAATAGAGCAAGCTAGGCTGTTCCCTACCCAATTTTTGAGCCTGGATCCTGGCTGGGTGGCCATAAAAATGAGAACCACAGTGATGGTTTTTGCCAGCACACAAGAAACAGCCAAAGTGAAGACAATGCCAAAGGCTATTTGCTGGAGAAAGCACATTGCCTTCTTTGGCTGGCCAATGAAGAGCAACGCACAAAGGAAGCACAGCACGAGTGAAATGAGA